CATCTAGATGCAAGTAGCAGGTAAAAATTACATACCTAGATGTAAGTAACAGGTACATATTACATGCCTAGATGCAAGTAGTAGGTACAAATTACATACCTAGATGTAAGTAACAGGTACATATTACATGCCTAGATGCAAGTAGTAGGTACAAATTACATACATACATGTAAGTAAGTAACAGGTACATATTACACATCTAGATGCAAGTAGCAGGTAAAAATTACATACCTAGATGTAAGTAACAGGTACATATTACATACCTAGATGCAAGTAGCAGGTACAAATTACATACATACATGTAAGTAACAGGTACATATTACATATCTAGATGCAAGTAGTAGGTACACATTACATAGCTAGATGCAAGTAGCAGGTAAAAATTACATACCTAGATGTAAGTAACAGGTACATATTACATGCCTAGATGTAAGTAACAGGTACATATTACATACCTAGATGTAAGTAACAGGTACATATGACATACCTTTATGTAAGTAACAGGTATATATTACATACCTAGATGCAAGTAGCAGGTACATATTACAAACATAGATGCAAGTAGTAGGTACATATTACACACCTAGTTGCAAGTAACAGGTACATATTACACATCTAGATGCAAGTAGCAGGTAAAAATTACATACCTAGATGTAAGTAACAGGTACATATTACATGCCTAGATGTAAGTAACAGGTACATATTACATACCTAGATGTAAGTAACAGGTATATATTACATACCTAGAGGCAAGTAGCAGGTACATATTACATACCCAGATGCAAGTAGTAGGTACATATTACATACCTAGTTGCAAGTAACAGGTACATATTACATACCTAGATGCAAGTAGCAGGTACAAATTACATACATAGATGCAGGTAACATGTACATATTACATACATACATAGATGTAAGTAACAGGTACATATTACATACCTAGATGCAAGTAGTAGGTACATATTACATACATAGATGTAAGTAACAGGTACATATTACATACCTAGATGTAAGTAACAGGTACATATTACATACCTAGATGTAAGTAACAGGTACATATTACATACCTAGATACAAGTAACAGGTACATATGACATACCTAGATGTAAGTAACAGGTACATATTACATACCTAGTTGCAAGTAACAGGTACATATTACATACATACATGCAAGTAACAGGTACATATTACATATCTAGATGCAAGTAGTAGGTACATATTACATAACTAGATGTAAGTAACAGGTACATATTACACATCTAGATGCAAGTAGCAGGTAAAAATTACATACCTAGATGTAAGTAACAGGTACATATTACATACCTAGATGTAAGTAACAGGTACATATTACATACCTAGATGTAAGTAACAGGTACATATTACATACCTAGATGTAAGTAACAGGTACATATTACATACCTAGATGCAAGTAACAGGTACATATGACATACCTTGATTTAAGTAACAGGTACATATTACATACCCAGTTGCAAGTAACAGGTACATATTACATACATAGATGCAAGTAACAGGTACATATTACATACCTAGATGTAAGTAACAGGTACATATCACATACCTAGATGCAAGTAACAGGTACATATCACATACCTAGATGTAAGTAGCAAGTACATATTGCATACCTAGATGTAACAGGTACATATTACATATTATTATCTTTTATTTCAGGACAAGCCCATATAAAAAGTAAGAAAAAAAAATATTAACAAATTACACAGAATGCCTTAAATAGAATTGACCACGCCACATTTGCCATATACGTGATTTAAAAAAAATATCACTAGATAATAGATTGATTAAAACAGAGTTCTTACTCAACAAAATACGTTGCGAAAAACTGTAGCACATTTTTCTAAGTTTAACCTGAAAATCATCAACATGTAGTCTGGCGAAAGTCTCTGTTATACTACTATTAAAAGAACGAGAGACATTACATATAATTCTAAGAGCGTTGTTATACGCAACACGAATACGATTAAAATCTGCCACAGTAAAATCCGACCATAGGTAACTACAATACAAATTTGAACAATAACT